CTCCAGCGCTTGTGTAAGAGAATTGCTACTCCATGGCAGCGCCGGTCGTTCCCAGACCCTGCGAAGGTGTGTCCTTCCACTGTAGTCCAATGCTCTTTTGGCTGTGTCCTCCAGGTCTCGTTGATTAGAATTGCGTCCCAGTGGTAACTTTGTACGTCTCGTACAAGCTCCCCGATGCGGTCGTCGGTTTCCAATAACCTCGCATTCTTATGGATTATGGTGAGATTGGTGGTGCCACTGGTGTCGATGGCTGGTGCTGGCGGTGCTGGGGATGGTTCGCTAGGGATGGCAGAAAGGGGTCGTTGCGTAAGACAGCTGGGGAAGTCGCCGTCGACGTTGGCGCACTCCGCTCGCCCGCCGCCGGAGCTGAGGAATTGCAGTCGAAATCGCAAGGACGCAACAGGAAAGTCACTCCCTACTGCACTGTACTTTCCCCGTCCTCCTCCCTTCGTCGGTGAACGCTGGAACTCGATAGGTGGAGGTGGAGGTGGAAGGTAGGATGCCCGAGGTTGGAGGTCGGAGCGTTGCGCTGGTGGGCGTTGGACGTCGACAGGTCGAAGTGGAAGTGGAATGTCGGATGTTGCAGGCTGGAGGTCGGTGAGTTGCGCTGGTGGACGCTGGCGGTCGAATGGTGGAGGTTGAGGTGCGGAGTCGGAAACTAGATGCTGGAGGTCAGAGTGCTGCGCTGGTGGACGCTGGAAGTCGATAGGTGGAGGTGCAAGTGGAGAGTCGGATGTTGGAAGTCCAGAGCCGGCGTGTTGCGTTGGTGGACGCTGGAGGTCGACAGGTCGAAGTGGAGGTGGAACGTCAAGGCGCTGGAGGCTGGAGGTCGGAGTGTCGCGCTGGTGGGCTCTGGAGGTCGTTTGGTGGAGGTGGATGTGGACAGTCGGGTGTCGCAGTGTGGAGGTCGGAGTGCTGCGCTGGTGGAGGTTGGAGGTCGATCAATGGAGGAAGAGGTTGAACATCGGATGCTGGAGGCTGGAAGCCGGAGTGCTGGGCTGGTGGACGCGGCACGTCGATAGTTGGAGGTGGAAGTGGAAACTCGGATGCTGGAGGTTGGTGGTCGGATTTTTGCGCTGGTGGTCGCTGGAAGTCGATAACTAGGGGCGGAGATGGAAAGTCGAATGCTGAAGTCTGGAGTCAGAATGTTGTACTGGTGGACGCTGGAGGTCGATGGGTCGAAGGTGGAGAGCAGCACGACATGGACGTCCACGAGCTTGTGCGCGGGACTGCGCACAACGCCAACAAGCAGCCCGACGGAGATCAACACGACAACTTTGACACCTACGAGTGGTGGGACGAGGATTCAGACGAGCAGCACACATCTGAGATGCACAAGAGCGACCTGCAACAGATCAACGGGCAGCACGACGGCGAGAGATAGCATAACTGGAACATCCACGACTGGGACAACCAGGATATCAGCGCCTGCGCCTACTGCGGCACCAACGCAGAAGTTGACACAGAGGCCAGCATCTGCAACGAGGCTTACTACGCCACCGACGCCGGCGCATACGCCAACAGCACCACGCCAGCAGCGCATGCGCCAGCACCGAGATCAGCACGGAAGCCAGCATCAAGGCCAGCGCCCATGCCGGCACCCACGCCGCCGCCCACACCAGCACCGACGCCAGTACCGATGCCTGCGCCTACGCCCGCGCCTGTGCCAGCGCCTACACCTGCACCAACGCTTGCAACCACCCAAGCAACAGTACTTGCGCCTACGCCGGCATCACCGCTGGCGCCTACATCGGCACCGACTTCAGCACCAAGGCCTGCGCCTACGCCGCTAGCACCACCGTCAGCGCCAACACCATCGACACCTGTGCCAACGCCAGCACCGACGACGGCGCCTACGCCGGCACCAACGACAACGCCCACACCAGTTCCGACGGCAGCGCCGACGCCCGCACCGACGCCTGCGCCAACGCTGGCACCAACGCCAGAGCGTATACCAGTACCGACGCCAGCACCAACATCTGCGCCAAGGCTGGCACCAACGCCATCGCCTACATCAACACTGGCGCCAGCACCGACGACAGCACCGAAGCTGGCGACGACGCCTGCGCCCATGCCGGCACCACCGCCAGCGCCTACACTGACACCGACACCAGCACCGTCGTCTGTGCACACGCTGGCACCAACGTCAGCGCTTCCACCAGCACCGACGCTGGCATCAACGCCTGTAACCACGCGGGCGACTACCTTGGCATCAACGCAGGCGCCTGCGCCATCGCCTACATCAGCACCAGCGCCAGTACCGACGCCAGCATCGACACCAGCGCCCACACCGACGCCAGCGTCGACACCAATGCCTGCGCATGCGCTGGCACCATCGCCAGCACCTCCACCAGCACCGACGCCATCACAAAGGCGTGCGCATGCGCTTGCACTAACGCCTATGCTACCACCGGCACCGATTGCAGCACCAGCGTCTGCGCCTACACTGGCACCAACCCCAGCGCATACAACAGCTCTAGCACCAGCATGGACGCTAGCAACGGCCTCTGGACCCCTGCGCCACCAGCACCAACGCCGGCTCCTCCCAACTCGACGTCAACCGGGAGCAGAACGTCGTGCAGCCCGACGTGGGTCAGCAACTCTACCAGGACATCCGCGTGCAAGACGCCCAAAGCCAGCATTTCACGGACCAGCAGCGAGACTTCGGCATCTGCGACCTGCAACACGCCCTACGAATGGTTCCAGATAGAGCTCGTGAGCTTCGCGATCAAGGCCCGGGAGCTGCCCACCACTCCAGCCCCGCCGCGAACGTCCGCAGCGGAGATGTTTTTCCTCCGCCAACTGCAGAGTTCACCCGCCAGCTCTGCAGGGGCTCGGGTTACGGCGGCCAGCCCCATCAGCAGACGCACCGTTTACGCGCCTCTACCTCGAGTTCCAGGGGTCGCCGATGTGTGGCTGAACTTGATGAATCGTGCTCTCTGCAGTCTGCCGCCGCTGCTCGTGTCCGTGCCGGCTTGGGGTCGACCATGGCTTGGCAGCACGATATCCGCACACTTATTGCACGGCTTCGTCGGCCACTAAGAGTCGGCTCCAGGGTAGGCGCCAGCGTTGCTGCTCGCAGCGTGCATAACTTCCACCCCACTTGACGCGTTATGTTTCGCGGCTGCGATCCTTGGCGGCCCCAGCCAGCGTTGCTTGGATTGCTTGAGTTCGGTGGGTGCGCCCGCGACGCCGCCCCGCGCCGCTGCCAACAGCTGCAGCCTGGCCGCCCCGCGCTATCCCCGCGGCGCCGCCGCGTGAGTGCCCCCGGGCTCACTCCTCCATCCGCGGCGCTGCCCTCTTTCCATTTCCTTCCCTCTTGCATGCGGGATAATTCGCAGCTCCGCAGCCTCGTTTTGCTCCATACGCGAGAGGATCGCCTCTGCCGCGCTGCGACGAAAACAGTGTTCGGGGGGGATCGCTGCCAAGTTTCACGCCAGCAGGACGTTCTGCGAGCTCCACACGCTGGCCGCGACGATCAGCCTCAGTCTGGCCACGGACATGCCGTTCGCCTCGTGCGGCGCAGCACGTGCCTTTGGGATATCAGGAGGTGTGCGGGCACCAGGTTGACAGGTCATTCCCCATGACTGTCCCTGTAACACTCCTCGTGAACTGGCCCCCAGCGCCAGCCCCTTCGCCGCCCAGGCCCTGGCCCCGGCCCCAGCCTGGCCCCAACAGAGAGCCCAAGAGGCTCGAAGAGAGCTAAAAAGAAGGCCTCCAGAGCGTCAGCGTCGTCGTCGTCTGGCCGCAAGGCCTTCCAATAAGATGGATTCCTGAATAAGAATTGCTCATCCTCTTTCTCCTCCTCCTCCTCCTCATCATCATCAACATCATCATCATCATCATCATCATCATCATCATCATCATCATCATCATCATCATCATCATCATCATCATCGTCATCATCATCATCGTCATCATCATCATCATCATCATCATCATCATCATCAGTATCATCATCATCATCATCATCATCACCATCATCATGATCACCACGACGACTGCCACCACCATCACCACCATGACCCATCCTACACATCATCAGCATCATCGTTATCATCATCATCATCCTCATCAGCATCATCATCAGCATGATCGTCATCATCATCATCAGCAGCATCATCATCGTCATCATCATCAGCATGAGCGGCATCAGCATCAGCATCGTCAGCAACACCAGCATCAGCATCAGCATCAGCATCAGCATCATCATGATCATCATCATCATCATCATCATCATCAGCATCATCATCATCATCATCACCATCAGCATCATCATCATCAACGCATCAGCAGCATCAGCATCAGCATCATCAACCTCAGCAGCATCACCAACATCATCGTCATGATCAGCATCAGCATTATTAGCATCATCACCATCAGCAGCATCATCAACCCCATCAGTACCATCATCATCATCATCATCATCATCATCATCATCATCATCATCATCATCATCATCATCATCATCATCATCATCATCATCATCATCATCATAGTCATCATCATCGTCATCATCATCGTCATCATCATCCGCATCCTCATCCTCATCCTCACCCTCATCATCATGAGCATCATCGCCAGCATCATTAGCATCATCATCAGTATCCGCATCATACTCATCATCAGCATCATCGTCATCATCATCAGCATCCGTATCATCATCAGCAGCATCATCAGCAGCAGCAGCAGCAGCAGCCGCAGTAGCAGCAGCAGCAGCCCTTTGATACTCCTCCCCCTGCCCTGATCAGCCAGCGCAATGCTCACGGCGAGGCCTCCCACAAATCTTCCCTGCTGCTTCTGCCGATTGGGGTCTCCCCAGAGATCGCCGCCGTTCTCGCGCCCGTGCACGTCGCTGCCTGGGCACAGAGTGTTTGGTTCGGGGCTAGCTCTGCATATCCACATCGAGCATCCCCCTGCCACTCCCCCCCACTGTCGCTGCCCCCGAAGCAGAAGCAGGCGGTGCCCCAGCTCCCCCTTCCAGCGGGAAGGGAGGGAACAGTCTGGCGCAGCACGAGGTGCAGCAAGAGCTGGAGCTGCCGCCCTCCTCCTCCTGAGCTGAGGCGGGGGGGGGGAGCTGGGGGCGCTCGCTCGCCTTCATCGTCGATAGACTGCCCTCCTCCTCCTCCTCCTCCTCCTCCTCCTGTTTCTCCTCCTCCTCCTATCACCCTTCTCCTCTCCCCCTCCTCCTCATCCTCATCCCTCCTCCTCCTTTCCCCTCATCCTCCTCCTACTCCTCATCCTCCTCCTGCTGATCCTCTTCCTCCTCCAATTCCTCCTCCTCCTCCTGCTCCTCCTCCCCCTCACCCGCTACGTCCTCGTCCTCTTCGTCATCACATCATCCCCTCTCATTGCCCACCCCCGTTGGTCTAGCGTGGCCCTGTCAAGAACTAGTGGATAGTCGAAGCCCCCCTGTCGGTTGCAGGCCGACGAAGAGATCGAAGCCGCCTGATGGGTGGGAAATACATACACTGGCGACCATCCCCCAAGACTGGCTGAGGTGAGCCCTTTTTCATGACGTGGGGCTCTCCTCGCAGGCTGGTGTTTCTTCTGGCTCCGTATTTGCTCCGATGGCGAGCGTCAGTCGCTTGTTTTGGAGATTGCCTCTGGAGCCTCCAGTGCGTCGTGGCCTCTGGAGCCTCGTTTGTTGTGTTCCATGTCGTCTCCCCTTCGGCTTCGTGTGCCTGGGGTGAGGCGAGCCCGCTGTGAGGGCAGCGCAGTGTGGAGCTTCACGCGACGAAACAAGATGCGCAGTTTCTTGCATCAAATGTTATGGCCTCTTGTGGCCCAAATTTCAGTCCCTGCTGGGCTCACCTCTTGCTGGGCTCACCTCGGCTCTCGCTTCCCAGCGGGGCGGCACCCGCCGGGCAGTCGCGAGCTACGACTCGCACCTTCGAGACGACCGAAACGAACCTCCCTCCTCCTCAATCCGCCTCACTCCGTCATCCTCCCAAGTGAAGCCTGCATCGGCGGGGCTCATCCCTGGTCAGGTGCCTGGGTCTCTGACCGGAGGTGTTTCATCGTCGCTGGGTGTAGCTCGGCCCCACGGAGGCGTGCTGCCGCCGTCCAGGCGGAAGGACACTCTCTCGTTCCTCCTCCTCCTCCTCCTCCGGCTCCTCCTCCACCTCCTCCTGCTCCTCCTGTTCTGCCAGGAGATTTCATCAACTTGCGCGCTTGTGCTGGCCTCGTGGCCAGTGTTTCGTCGCCCCCTCGGGGGGAAGCTGAGGCCAGACAGCAGCCCGCGGCCGAATATAGCCCGCCCTCCTCTCTCCGTCCTGCTCGCCATGCTCCTGCGCGCCGCGCCAGGCGCGGCCCGCGAAGCGCACACCGCACCTCCCCGCTGGCCACCCACGCGCGCGGGCACGGCGGACGGGGTCGGCGGAGGCCCGAGATCGGGTCGGACGAAAAGGGGGGATAGCACAGGGGTCGTTTGCCCCCCTGCGAGCCAGTGGGCAGGACCGAACTTGACGGACTCACACGTGCTGCCGTCGAAGAGGACACGGAGGAAGATCTCTGTGCGGGGGAGGACGGCCCGACGGGACGTTGTCGTCCTCCCCCCACCGCACCAGAGGATGGTCAAGGGGGGGGAGCGATGGAGCTAATAAGCTCACGCAGCTGGGTCCCCCAGCACTTCTCAGCACCGCAAGCGCCAGTGTCTCGACGAACGCGCCTGGCGTCGGGGCAGGAACCAGCTGCATGCGGCAAAGTGTGCAAACCCTGTCTGTATCCCCCCGTCCGTCCCACCCGACAAGAGAGGCCTACCTCATTCAGAAACGCCAGAGCGCACTTCCGCCTGTTACCAAGGACATCCCCCCCTCATCCCTCCCTGGACGACGCCTGGCGCTGCCGTGACCTACCACCCCCTGATAATATCACGATTCGCGCTGACGCCGTCGGGGAACAGCTACGAAGCAGCTCATTCCCAAACGGCGCCAGCGAGAATCGTTACGTTACCAGCCCCCTCCCCCGTTTCCCAAGGTAACGGCCGCGATCGCCAGAGAGTGCAAAAATGGGCGCCTACGGTACACGTCGGTCGGAAGAAGTAGGTAAACACATGAAGTAGGAAGGCGGATGAAGTAGGTTGGGTTCAGGCCCTCCCAGAGAATTAAAAAGCACATCCAAAACATATCGGTTCTTCAAGTAGGAAGGCGCTAGAAGTAGATTGGGATCTGGGAATCCAAAAAGACCTACTTTCAACGACCGACGTGTAAGAAACTGTTGCCGAACGTGCCGCGGCGACGGCCCATGCGGCACGACATGCCTTTCGGGCCGCTCGCGCGTCGTGCTGCCTCGCAGGAGCGGGAGGCTGCAAAACACCTGGAACGGTGATGCTCTGGGACTGGGACGTGCCTACGGCAGGTTCGTGTCGTGTCGACCCCAGCGTTGGTTCCTGACACCTCGGAAATCGTTCAACGTTGAACGATCGGGCGGTGCCGAAGCGTCAGCTCGTTCAACATCGACCGATTCTGGGTCGCCGGCGGCGTTCAACGTTGAACGCCGGCGGCGGGATCGCCGCCGGTCGAAACGACACCAACCTACCGTAAGTTGTCGCGCCGAAGCACGGTGGGCCAGAACAGGCGGCGCGACACGCTACGCAAACGTTCCTGGCCGTGGAGCTTGGCATGATATCAGAAGGGCGCCTAACTTCGCGCTCTCGTGAGGAGGACGAGGAGTCGGAACCGAACCGCGAAGCGCGAAGCGCGAATAACTTCGCGCCCTCGAGGGCGCCCTTGATGTTAGCACTGTCGCCCGTTCAGTCCTTCCAAGGCGCCCCAAGAGGCCCCCAAAATCATCCAAGGATACCCCCAGATGCACCACGGCCTCCAAGACGGCCTCGGGAAGTTGTGCGAGAAACGCGCCGCCGACGCCGCCCCCAGACCGCTGGAAGCCTCTTCTCCGAGATGAACTCAAGACCGCCCAAACGCTGACTTCACACACACACACACACGGGATACCCCAAACGTCACGTCTCTTCTTCCCCCACCTCCTCCTCCCTATCCCCTTACTCGTCCATTTCCCCTTCCTCCACATATTCACAACATTGATACTCCTACCCTCTCTCCCCTGACTCCGTGCAAAAAGTACACGGCCCCCTCCGCGCCTTCTAGTCTTACACGCAAGATTGGGCCAGAATGTAGGTTCAAACATGTGTTGCTACAATCCGTGTGTTCTCGGTGCTCCCGCTGCAGCGTGGGCCTCACTTTCGGATGAGCGCTTTGCTCCCGTCGGTCGGAATGCCGCTCTCGCCGCAGCGCGGGCCACTGTTCTGGATCCGAGTCCTTTTTCATCGTTGTCGCCCCCTCTTGGTGATCCCCTCCCTCCTCCCTCCTCCCTCCTCCTCCTCCTCCTCCTTCTCCTCCTTCTCCTCCTCCTCCTCCTCCTCCTCCTCCTCCTCCTCTTCCTCCACCCTCCACCGTTCCCCCTCTACCCTGCGCCCTACACCCTCCGCCCTCAAAACTCCGCCCTCCACCCTCCTCCGCCTCCTCCCCTTCTTGATGGTCTCCTCCCTCCTCCTCCTCCTCCTCCTCCTCCTCCTCCTCCTCCTCCTCGCCCTCCTCCTCGTCCTCCCTCCTCCTTCTCCTCCTCCTCCTCCTCCCTTCTGCTCCTCCTCCCTCCTCCTCCCTCCTCCCCCACCCTCCACCGTCCCCCTCCACCCTACACCCTGCACCCCGCACCCTCCGCCCGCCTCCTCGTCCTCTCCTCGCCGCCGCCGCCGCCACCGCGGAGGGCCGCCCAAGGCCAGCGCAGGCCGCCAACTGGCCGCTGCGGGCCACCCGCGCTCGGTCCTCGGCCACGTCCACCATGCGCCCTCGGGCGGCGGCCGCGCGCCTCGGGGGCGGGGGGGGGAGGCCAAGGGGCCCAGGGTGGTCACCGACTTGTCAGATCTTAGAGGGTAGAAAATCCACCCCGAAAAAATCTAACACCCCGAAGCAAGTGTTGACGCTTCAGGTATCCCCGCCAACCTTCGGCCGCAGCCCGACCGTTACTCGCCGCCGCTGGCGCTTCCGCCCGCGGCTGTAAAAAAAAGTATCCCCGCCAACCCATCCAGATTCTATGCCCAGGGCAGTTCAGGTGATCAGGGAAGTGGGGGAGCATGCAGAAGAACAAAGTGGCGGGGGAAGTCGTCCGATACCCCAAGAGGGGGAGGATGGTGGAGGAGGAGGAGGACGAAGAGGAGGAAGGAGGAAGAGACAGTGGACAAGGAGGAGGAGGAGGAGGAGGAGGAGGAGGAGGAGGAAGAGGAGAGGGGCATCTTGGCGAGCCCAGGGCCAGATTTGAGCGTCTTGGGCGCTTCGTGGATCCTCTTGAAGCCTCTTGGGAACCTCTTGGGAGCCTGTTGGAGGCATCTTGGGCGCCTTTTGGGGCCGCCAGGCGCCTCTTGGGGCCAGCTTGGGGCGCTCTTGGGAGCCTTAGGGGCGCTCTTAGGGGTCATCTTGGAGGAGATCGATCAAAGAAGAAGGGCTCCCTAAATCGAACCCTTCCTTTCCCCCTTGGAGCCCCTAAAATCGCCTCTTGGGGCGCTCTTGGGACGCTCTTGGGGCGCTCTTGGGCGCTCTTGGGGCCGTCTTGGGGCTCTCTTGGGTCTCTCCTGGGGCCCTCTTGGGTCATTTTGGAGCCGTCTTGAGGCCTCGGATGGCCATCAAAAGCGAACAGGCGAGAACCGAACAAACATTGATTTACCATAGGTTCTGGGACGATTCTGGCTTCTTTGAGGCCTCCTTGGGAGGTCTCGGAGGCCTCCTGGAGCTGTTTTGCAGCGCTCTTGTGGCCTCTTACAGCATCTTGGGAGCCGATTTGAGGCATCTTGGGCTATCTTGAGCCATCTTGGAGGTCATCTTGGACTCCCTAAGGCCCTCTTGGAGCCATCTTGGCAGAACAAGTACCCTCTGACACCTCGCGGGGCGCCCCGTCCAAGTCCAGGGAAGGGGGGTTAGGGGGCGGAGTAAACCCCTCCCCGAAAGGGAAGAAGGGGGTTGAAGAGAGAACCTCCCTAGACCACCTATGCCCAGAGAGCTGGTGGGATTTTGTAGAGGCGCCCAAAGAAGGGAAGGAATCGAGCCGGGCACGGCTGTTTAATAAACGCCCAGGGCAGTTTCAGCAAACGCCATGTATCAAGGCCGGGGTGTCTGATTCTTCCCTTGATTTCTGGAGTTCCGTCTCCCCCCGTTACCCATAGCTTCCAACAGCTTCTCCTGGGAATCGACGTGTGTTTGTGCCTGTGTCTGCTTCTCCCTCCGGAACCCCGGGGCCGTAGGCGACCCGAGGAGGAGGAGGAGGAGGAGGAGGAGGAGGAGGAGGAGGAGGAGGAGGAGGAGGAGGGGGAGGAGGAGGGGGAGGGGGAGGAGGAGGTGGAGGAAGAGGCGGCCCAGGGCGCCGGGCGGCGCTCGCGCTCGACGCATTCCTCGCCGCCAGGCTCCCTGGCGTGCTCAGTCTGGAGGCCCCAGCTGGCAGACCACTCCCCCCTGTAGGCGTGCGTTTTTTTACTCGGCGTTTCGACATGGGGCGGAAGGGGGGGAGGGGGGGGGTCCTGGCTCTGGACCTCTGCTTAGCGGTGCGGCCGATGGGGGAGGGTCCCCACCTGCTCGAAACAGGCGCCCAAAGCAGCCAAGATCTGCTCCGTGGGGGGAGGGATGGGGGTGGCGAGGGCCAGCGCCGATCGGCAAAACAATGAACAAGAAACCGATCACCTTCTAGCCATCGCTCGGACGTCCATTCCCCGTGCATGGCTTCGGCTTCGTGCACTCTTTTTTCGTGCGGTGATCCAAGATGCTCCTCGATGGTCCTCGCCGACAAAAAAATCCACACGTCCGAGCGATGCGCCCAGCCTTGGGAGCGGCCGCTGTCTCCAACGGCGGCCCAACCCCCGGGGGAGCCGCCATGTTTGAGGGGCGGTGGGGGTGTCTGCCCGCTCCCGATCACAGAGCGCCTGCGGCAGAGGGACCCGCGGCGCCGCTGGACAGCCCACTCCAGCCGAGAAAAATGATCCGCACAGATCCAAAGATGAACCGCTCGCATTTCTGTGCCTGACATGCGGGTCGCGCCCCACAGCTCCTCTCGCTTTGGCGCAGCGTCATCAGGCACCTCTACAGGAAGATCGGAGGGCGGCGCAGAGTTCCGTCGATCGTCCAGGGAACGCCCCGCGACTCGTTGCCATGGCCTAAATCCGCCATAATGCATGCACGGAGTGGGCGAGTCAGAAGGTGAACGTTATCGTGTTCGGCGTCTCGACATTGGGCGGAAGGAGGGGCGGTCTGGCTCCGGACCTCTGCTTAATGCGAGTGTTTGCAAACGTGCGTCCTATGGGCAGACTCAACCTGCTCGAAACAGGCGCCAAAAAACAGCCAAGATCTACTCCCTGGGGGGGGGGCAGGGGGGGGGGGCGAGGGCCCGCGCCGATCGGCAAAACAATGACTAAAGAACACGATCCCGAGGCTCTTCTGTTGTCTGTGATGTCTTTGAAATGTTTACTGGGGCCGACCCCGCCCCCCCGCCCTCCGACGCGCGCGGCCTGCGAAGACCGCCCCCCCCTCTCTCCGGAGCCGCTTGTGGGCAGTGGTCCACACCACATCCCGCACAGGACAGCAGGGCGCCGAAAGCAGCCCCCCCCCCCCGATGGGGGGTTGAGACGAACCCCCCCGAGGAGGCCAGAACACGCCCTGTGGCCACCCCGAGAGGGGCGCCCGAGGGGCCCCAAGAGGCGCCCAAGATCCGTCGGTCGGAGGAAGTGTGTAGAAGCATGGAGCAGGAAGCCGTGGAAAGCAGATCGGGCCTCCCCCCGCCCCCTGAAGAGGGACGATGGAACTCCACTCGACTCTCAAAGCAGGAAGGCGTCTGAAGTGGCATTGCGACTTGGGCATCCAAAAATATCTACTTTCAACAACAGGCGGGCATAGGGGGGGCAGGAGAGCCGCGCGTCAAACCAGCGCGATGCTCGTCGATGTTCAGCGTTGGTCGATGTGCAGCGCGCGGCCACCGACGAACGCCCCTCGACGGCTGCAGAGCGCAGAGAGCGGTGCCCCTGGAGCAGCGCCCAGAGCCGCCAGGCGGCGCCTGGCGTTCCCGAGCTGCGACTGGCGCAGTCCCCGCAGAGTCCCCACGCAGTCCCCCGCGCAGTCCCCACAGGGTCCACGACGGAAACTTAGATTGTCCCTGCTCTTTCGTGCTTTCGGAACGTTAAGAACCCAGACGAGCAACGTCTAGAAACAATCAGGACGGAGGCCCCCCTCAATTCTCAGCCTCTGAGGGCCTTTGCCGGGCCCTGGGACCGTCACAAACATGACTCGGGATGAACAAACGGCCCTGAGGAAAGGGTCGGGCCTTCTGGGGACCGCGTGTCGAAAAAATCTGGACATCGCATGTCGGGGTATAGTACCCGTTCCTCCTTGATCTGCGCAACAAGGTTAAGAAGGAAACCTCCAAACCTGTACAGACCTAATGAAGGGCGGGGAAAGGAGGAAGCCTCCAAACCTGTACAGACCAAATGAAGGGCGAGGACTGTGTCAGTTTCCATCGGGGGCTGTGCAGGGACTTTGCGGGACGGCGCGGGGACTCGACAGGCGCGGCGGAATATGGGGGCTCACAGCGGACATGTCGACCCCTGTCCCAGGCTTCGTGGGGTCTTCGAACGGGCCAGAAACATGGAAAGATCGCCTGCGAGGGGCGGGCGGCCCTGGACGCAGCTCGGGGGCCGGCAC